TGTCACTTGGGGGTTGAATAAAACTGATAATGCTGTGAGCACAGAAAAGACATTTGTGGTTATTTCATTATAACTGTTATGTTATATTTGTCTGACCTACAAGTGCCTCTTTAATGTAAATGTAAGCAAGATGACTGAATGATCAAAAGCAATGTCAAACTGGCCAAAACACTCAATTTCAGTGGGGGTTGAATAATTTTGGTCACAACTGTATGTAACCATATTTCAATTATATCTAGCCTACTCCTAAAAGTTTGTAAACTCTGTAACGTTTCCCACACTTCCTGGAATTCTGTGATAGATATCCATTATGCTCTGTTGGTAGGCACTGCTGTCACACATTTCCAACAGCCTGCCTTCTAAAGTACAGAGGTGCTGAGAAGAGTTCCAGGAGGTGGAGTCAGTACAGAAATCACAGCTTGAAGGCAGCAAGATACCAAGGGATATGTAGTCCTTAGAAAAATGCAAGTGAACAGCAGAGGACAAGCTGCAAAACATGCAGGGAATCCAGGACGTTATGGAAATAGATGGCCAGCAGACAGCCAGAATTCATAACATGAAAGGAGATTTTTCAAGTAGGTTTATATTGGAATGTAAAAATTGTTATTACATTATTAAAACTATTGTTTGTATTGTCATAACGATATAATAAATAGAGTGTATGCTGTGACCATAAAACTCCTTTAATGAAAGATACAATATCACAACTTGGAGGCAGGTGCTGGTGTACAATCTTCTCCTTTCCCAGCTCCTGTTTTTTTTCTTCTGGTCCACACACTGCTGGCAGTCCTGATTTACTTTGTATTCCACAGTGACATATTGGTATAGATAGCAACTAGCAAAATACCATTGATAAAGCTGTTAAATGTCCTAAATGCTTTATATGGACATATAGTAATGTCATATACAGTATGTATGTAATCATCCTAGATCTGCTATCATTGCCACAGCAGAGTGTGGAGGTCTGGGGTTTTTTTTAGTATTTTTTTTTATATTTTCAATTTTTTAACAAAATCCTTTAAGATAAATAATCTGAATCTAGCACAAATCATGCGGCCCAGAGATGGTCAGCAGACATGCAGTACTCATAATATGAAAGGATATATTTCAATTAAACTTACTGTATATTGCAATGACAAATATAACTATTACTTGTATTCCTATTACAATGTTGATGTTATAGAATTAAAATTATAATGTGACCATATAACTCCTTTTAACATCTGTTGCTTTCAAATGGCAAATAACTGATTTAAAGGGTTAATTAACCTTTTTAGAAAAATGAAAAGGTGAACTAACCCTGTACAACAGAGAGTGAAGGGTTAGGTTAAGCCCCCCCCCCCCCCCCCCCCCGAAAAAGGTGACCGAACTCTCCCACTCTTCAAAGGAGCCTGGGATCACATTGGAGGGTTTCAACTTCAGCATGGCGAGCAGGAGGAGACCTAAGAACATCTGTTCCTTGATCTCCTCAGCAGCGAATGCAGGCAGAAGCGACCACGATTTTAGCCACTTCTGGTTTCAGGCTTGTCATTCGATGACTGTTACAGAAGCAGCTTGCCAAGCTCAATTTGTGTTTTGTTAGCTGTTTTGGAGGGCAGGGGAGACACTAGAGTCTTATAGACACCCACTGTCCTTAAAAAGAGTACCTGTCACCTGCCCAATGCTATCACATGGGGGTTTGGTAACTTTCTTGTGATAGCAAAAAAGTTGAATTAAGAAATGAAAAAAAAAAGTATAAAAAATTAACATTTATTAAAAAAAAACTTAAAAAATTAAATGCAACACCCCTGTTGCCCTGCACACCTCCATAAATGCAAAAGCACGCACAGGTTATACACGTCTGCAACTGCACCACAGAAGTGAGGTATGGCTGCTAACATTCGAGCAAGAGCAATCTTTCTAGCACAATAGTTCCCAGTTAATGTTAAGCTGGTGAGTAATAAAAGCTTGTTAAAGTGTTGCCTATGGAGATTTTCAGGGGCACCCAAAATTATCAGACTTAACCTGTTTGCTATTGACACAACCCCATCTTTTATATTTTATCACAAAATGGGTATTGTATTGTGTGTGTGCACTAAAATTCAATGTATTATATTTTTTTCTGAAATTTTTGCATTTGATAAACAGATGCACAATTTTCGTGCAACATAAAAAAATGCAACTATCATCTTTTTATTCTAAAAGTACTTTGCTTTTAGAAAATATTTATCATTCTGGGGGTTTAAAGTAATTTTGTGGCTAAAAATTTGGATTTGTACATGTGTGCAAAAAAATGGAAAAATTGCTCTAAAGCCAGAGTGGTTAAAGAAGACTTCTGGAAAGAACAAGCTATACTTGCATGGGAATTTATATATTATCACTGTGTTTATGTGGATTTCTGCAGTAATTTCCCACAACCTCTAACATCCTGACAGATTTAGCAGATTCCACTGAAAACGGTACCAGTTTTTATGTGTGTAAGTCTAATACATACTTTAAGTGCTTCTAAGGGCTTACATTTATTTTTTAAATAACAAGCATGTCTATACGTACCTGCTGCGTGGACTGGTTTTACACAGAGCAGCCCGGATCCTCCTCTTCTCGGGTCCTCCGCCGGCGCACCTGGCCCTTCCCTTCTGTCGGGTGCCCCCACAGCAAGCAGCTTGCTATGGGGGCAACCGCTGCTCCGTGAATCCATTCACACTCATGAAGGTGTGGCTAGGCACCGTCCCCTCTCTCTTCTCATTGGCTCACTGGCTGTGACTGGCAATGAGAGGGAGTCCCAAGATAGCTGAGACTCCAGTGCACGTCGCTGGATCGAGAAAGGGCTTAGGTGAGTATTAGAGGGGGCTGGGGGGAGATGCTGCACAGAAAAGGTTTCTCAGAAAAGTCTTTCCCAGAATCCTCCCCTCTACTTGTGATTGGTCAGCTGCAGTGTGGGCTGATGTTAGGCACACCACCACCACCACCCTATTGTAAGGCTCTGTCTTCTCATTTTGTAGAAAGAAGCGTCAGCGAAGCAAGCTGGAAGTCCAGGCATGCAAGCCTTCCAGGGGGACTATAAGCAGGATGACTGGGATGAGAGCCAGCATTCAGCCGGGGGCAGAGGGATGAAATATGTTATTGGCATGAAAGCTGACAGTAGGACAACGTATGCCATGTTTGAGTACCTGACGTACCACAAACCACCCAGAGGGAAGATAGTCCTTGGCCTGGCTTAATCCACTTCCTTAAAGGGGACCTCTGTTTATTGATTTAATGCGTAATTCCATTACGCATCTGGTGAGTGTGTATTCTTACCCCACTGTTTAAAAGCACCAGCACTGAAGTATCGCCACAGTTTACAATATATGTGCACGGATTGTCACCTATGGACTATTAATTTATGATTAATATTATTTCCATTTATTTATACGAACATTATTAAATTTTTAGGCGCTGCACTTTTTATTTTCTTATTACTGAGGTTTTATTTTGGTTACCTTTCAGTGCTATAGCTGCTTTTATGAGAGCGCTCACCTTTTTTCTTACCATACTTTTTTGGGGTGTAGCCCCTTCTTCAAGGGTACTGCTTGGACCTTGAAGAAGGGGTACACCTCGAAAGATTGTCCTGAAAATATGGATGTTAGTGCAAATTTAAAATCTTGCCATCCACTGTGCCATCTGATTTTTTAGATTTACAAATGCTATGTAATATGAGATCACAAATGAACCCTTGCACTAGGGTTGGTGAGATGGTAGTGCTAAAGGAGTTTGTACAATCAGATTGTGTGGTGTATGGTCAGATTAAGTTTCCTTAGGAACAGTGACAGTCCAATAAACTTATCAGGTTCTATGTACTTTGTTAAGCGTTGCTGGATTTGTTTCTCTTTATATGAAAAAAAAAAAGTGTGAATTTGGATTTACCAAATCCAAAACAAAACAAACACTGAAGAATGGAAATAGGAAACTTAAATATTTTATATGGAAAGAAAACACAACCTCTGCCAAACATCACAATGCAGAGAAACACAATCGCTATGAAAAATATAAAATCTGATTTAAATATGAGCCAAACCCCATGAACATAATCCAATACCTAGTTAAACAAAATCTGTCCCACATCCTATAAAACTCTGCAGCAAGCACAATAACTATGCAAGGCATTCTTGTATTTCTGCTTTCAAGTATTTAGTGGTACTCAAAGCCAGCTTTCCTTAGAAACAATATGACATATTAAATGGAATCTTTATTTACAGTGGAATAATGCTGGACATACACTATATTGCCAAAAGTAAGCCTTTCCACACACATGAACTTTCATGGCATCCTAGTCTTAGTCCGTATGGTTCAATATTGAGTTGGCCCACCCTTTGCAGCTATAACAGCTTCAACTCTTCTGGGAAGGCTGTCCACAAGGTTTAGGAGTGTGTCTATGGGAATGTTTGACCATTATTCCAGAAGCGCATTTCTGAGGTCAGGCACTGATGTCAAACGAGAAGGCCTGGCTCGCAGTCTCCGCTCTAATTCATCCTAAAGGTGTTCTATCGGGTTGAGGTCAGGACTCTGCAGGCCAGTCAAGTTCTTCCACCCCAAACTCACTCATCCATGTCTTTATGGACCTTGCTATTGGAACAGAAAGGGCCATCCCTAAACAGTTCCTACAAAGTTGGGAGCTTGAAATTATCCAAAATGTCACTGTATGCTGATGCCTTAAGGGTTCCCTTCACTGGAACTAAGGGGTCAAGCCCAACCCCTGAACAACAACCCCACATCATAATCTCCCTCCGCCAAACTTTACACTTGGCACAATGCAGTCAGGCAAGTACCAAGAAGCGTGATTGGTCACTCCAGAGAACAAGTCTTCACTGCTCTAGAGTCCAGTGGCAACATGCTTTACACCACTGCATCCGACACTTTGCACTGCACTCGGTGATGTAAGGCTTAGATGCAGCTGCTCGGCCATGGAAACTCATTCCATGAAGCTCTCTGCGCACTGTTGTGCTAATTTGAAGGCCACATGAAGTTTGGAGGTCTTTAGCTATTGACTCTGCAGACAGTTGGTGGCTGCTGCGCACTGTGCGCTTCAGCATGCGTGGACCCAGCTCTGTAATTTTACGTGGTCTACCACTTTGTGGCTGAGTTGCTGTTGTTCCCAGTTGCTTCCAATTTGTTATAATACCACTAACAGTTGACCATGGAATATTTAGTAGCAAGGAAATTTCACGGATGGACTTATTGCTCAGGTGGCAACCTGTCATGGTTCCACGCTTGAATTCACTGAGTTCCTGAGAGCAACCCATTCTTTCACAAATGTTTGTAGAAGCAGTCTGCATGCCTAGGTGCTTTATTTTATACACATGTGGCCATGGAGGTGATTGGAACACCTGAATCCAATGATTTGGAGGGGTGTCCCAATACTTTTGGCAATATAGTGTAGACACAGTTTTTTTCAGCCAGAGGAACAGAGTGTGTTCAACCACATGAGAGCTGCTCTCCTCTAGGGATGAGCTCAGTCATGTTTGGATCCTAGTCTGGACTCACCTGAACTATCGTGCCAGGAAGCTATCATCTGTATTGTGCCAATCATAAGCAGACAAGGCATTCCCCGCCCCAAAGTCACATGTATATGAGGGGATTGTATATGGCTGCAGTACATGTCTCTACTGCTTATTACTGACCCAATACAGTGACAGCTTCTTATTGAGATAGCTCAGGTGAGTTTGGACTAGGATCTGAACACAACTGAGCTCATCCGGACTTTTCTTTCCTTGACCAACCCAGAAAAAAATACATGAATCTTGATAGATGTGCACAAAGCATTTCAGAGACACCCAAACATTTCAAAATCACCAGAAATATGTTCTGCACACATGTGAATACAGGTTTAGAGGGAAAACTCAAGAAAAGTCATATAGGCAATGTGTATACCAGTCTTTGGAAACCTTTGAATCTCCAGATGCTGTTGATCTACAATAACCAGCTGTAGGTCAGGGTGGGAATATGTAGTAGAACTGCACCAGAAACTGACAGATTGCACATCTAGCAAAGAGTAAATGATGAGTAATGATAGGACAGCAGAGTTTGTGAATGTCCCTAGGTCCCAGTGGTCATATTACCTTAACTTAACTGTTCTTCCTTGTTAGGTTAGAAATAGGTTCAGGTAGGGAAAGAGGGGCTTGTCCCCTGGGAGCAGAAAATCAAAAAAACACCCAGCATAGTGGAAGAGGAGGGAGGGATTTTCATAGAGACCATCCTTTTAGAAACAGTAGAGGTTATCAGTTGGAAAGGGAATACATGGCAGGCAGCCACAGAGGACACTTATGACCTCACCTAAGAGGCAAATTGTAAGTATCTGACATGCCTTCGAAGCAAGACATGGGGAGGGAGAATGACATTCCAACAACAGATGATAAAAATAGCCCAGAGAAGTAAGAAGAACTGGCTTCAAGGATACTTTGTCCCCATGTAGCAGAGAAGAGGGTTCCATTCTTACAAAGTGCATTCTAAGAGAGCAACCCTTGTGTGCATAAAGGGAAGGCAACAGAGACAAAGAAGAGGTCCATCCAAGACCTGCCAGGTACCAATAGCTAGGTGTTTTGCAACACCAAACAAAAGAAGCTGCATCATTAGAAATGGGATTCCCTATATTCACATTAGGTGAGAACTACCTCACATGATAAAAGATTACAGAGTATGGGGAGAGTGATCTGCATTCACCAGAGAAAGAGGGGTGCCCCACCTAGAGTTTGGAATGTGCCAAAATGTTGAAGATCAAGGATTGCTGGGAGATCACTGGGCAAAAGTATGTAGAGCAGTCACAGAACTGAAGATGTTTTGTGAGATGGGCAAGTAAGTGCCCATCAATGTACCTAGCAGGTACCTACATATAGCATGTGGAGGGGAAACAAGCACATAAAAGGGTACTAAAAACAGGGGCCATGCAACCTTTTTAAAGTACTAGGTTGGCAAACGAAGTTGAGCAGCGGACAAAGCCACTTCTTTTGAGGAGGCTACAGCAAAAAGACAGACTACCAAGTGATTCCTGATCTTGATACTGTATAGGGGGGAGGCAGATCAAAACCCAGGGCAGAGTCTGAGGGTTGTAGGTAAGGGAGACCAGTATAGAAAAGGGGGTCCGTGTAATGGGGCTAGCTCACACATGTAGTGAGGAGTACAGTTCCAGTGACCTTATGTGGAGAGGCAGGGCATTACCTGTTTTGAAAGAATCTATTAGCAGGGAAATTTTCATGGAACATTATTCTCATGAAGGGTTCCACTGGTAGAATGTTCATGAGCACAGGGTCGGTGATAGAAAGATGTAGTGTCAAACGCAGGGGGAAGCAAAAGCATCAGTGTTTGGACCTACAGATCAAAGATTTCACTCAGGAGCTTTTTAAGAAAAAATATCTTCAAGACAACCTGAAACTTGAAAGCTTGAATAAGTGTGTAATGGTTTAACACCACAAGGTGGTGAGTTCAGCAATGTAAAAACGACACTGAAGTGTGGATAGATGAGGAGTAAAACTCATCACATTGAGGTTGCTTTTAAAGTTAGGGGATGTCTCACATGAGATACAGAGGTTCTATAGAAGACCAGGTAGAAGCTACCCTGCTGTGGTAGACTTAGTGACAAATCTACAGGGGACTGCAGTAATTAATATAGCATGATGGAGACATTGTTAATTGGATAAGGGTCCATGTGCAGGATTTTAAAAAGTCCTGGTAATCTTCTCTAAGAGGGAAGGAGATGACCACCTCTTGTGATTGTAAGACTGTAGAGAGGTGTCGGAAAAACAGTCTGCCATATGTAGCAGCAAGTAAAAATGTGTAGCACAGAAAAAATCAACGAAGAGATTACAATATTAACTCTCCGAAGAACAGAGTAAAATAAAAGGCCAGGATGTTAAGGTGGAGAAATTGTCCTTAGACATCCCTCTACCCCCCCCCCCCCTTTTGTCACTTTGTCAAGGGGTGGGGGTGAACCTTTAATGCACAAAAGGTGTTTGAGCAGCTCTGTTTGGCTTAGTGGTTGAGGGTCTGCCAGATGAGGTAAGGCCCATTCTTTAGGGAAGCATAATTGAGGGTAGTGGCGTAGGAACCACCCTCCCTCAGTAGTGTAGTTCTCAAGAGAATTTCCAGAGAGCAGCTCACCTTTGAAGGGCATGCACAAAATACATCTTTCACTATAGTGTTTAGCTGACTTTAAGATTAAAGTTTCTAAGCATATGCACAGAAAATAAAGATGTTCTGTAAATCTGACAGATCACCTTCTCCATGGCTTCTACAAAGAAGAGCAGTGTCAAGGGTAACAGTTGCAATCTTGCAGCAAGATTAGGATCATCCATATGTGGAGAAAGTTCACCACTATTTATTTCTCCAGTCCAGTTTGTGATGGTCTGGGCAGCTAACAAGGTAGCAATAGTCAGTTGCAAGGCAGGATCTAACAGAGTAAAGGAAGACCTTAAAATATTCTAAAATACCTATCCACTGTAGACTGATTATTTAGTGCAAGGATGGCTAGATCCACATTGGGAACAGACCATTTCTTTTTAAACTCCACTTGCATAGGGTACAAGGAATCAAAATTATCAGGAGGTAAATTATATAAGGCCCAATCAGCTTGATTAAAAACAGGGAAAGGCTTTTTAGAAATAGTATTATTTTTGTGCTAGGAAGGTTATGTGGGGGATCAGCATCACTAGAGGTATCTATGCAGAGGCTGGAATGCACTGCTTCAAGAAATGAGTCCACAGTAGCCAGCATGTGGCAAGAAGAAGTTCTCTGGCCGTGAGAAATCACCCATGGCCGCCACTAAAAATGCAGTGAACCCTTTGCCTTCAGAAAACTGGAGTGCACTAAACAGTTGAGGCTGTACCACCTGAAGATAATCAGGGGGTAGAGAGGCAGAAGAGCATTTACAGTATTAATAACCCCCGATTCTAGAAGTGGTGATAGACTTTGGAATAGATCAGGCAGAGAATTCTGCTCGAGTCAGAAAACCGTGTGTTGAACATCTGTGAAGAAGCCCAATTTAAGGGGCTGGGGCGATGTCAGTGTAAGACCTTGCTCTTGAACAAAGGAGCTTCTATTGACCCAAGAGGAATTTGGAGTTTCCTCAGGGCCTGCAGCAGAATCTCCACTGTTTGTCTAATGTGATCCTGTGCACCTGAAGGATGCTTCCCCGTAGGGTACTCATGGAAAGCATGTGGACTGAGGGGGTTCAGCATGTCTGGTTTGAAAGAATCACAATGACATCGGTGCTAATCAAGTTCTTGTGGATGTGTCACTGAGGTATCAAGGAACAGGTGAGATGTCAAACAATCAGCTTGCATCTCTGCAAAGAAATGCACAGTAAAGAGTCATATGATCATTAAGTCACTAGCCAAAGAAATACTTCTTGTAGTGAGGTGGAAGAAAAGGCAGTGGATTTTAAATAGTTAAATGCTATAATAATGTTACCTCTAAGGCCAAGTAGGTGAGACAAAAATAGTTAGGGTGTAAACACTCAAAGTGTGGATTATCACATAATACACAGATTAAAGATTTCAGCTCAATGTACAATTTCAGCATTTGTTGAGATGAATGAACTTGAGCTCAAGAGTGTAAGTTGCATCATCCCGACCCATTCGATCAAGATGGTCAAAGATCAGAAGCCAGAAGAAGACGTTCAAAAGTTGTCAGCGGCTGGCAAGAGAGCACGTGGACACCGCTGGAGTGAATATAGTTTCGCGTTACAGGATATAGCTTCTATGCATACTGGTCCTTTCTTTGTGGAGGGCTTAGAGCTCATGCCAGCAGCCCTACATTATTTTGTAGACAGGGTAGTTGCTATTGTCTGTCATATATTCCAAATGAGACTCTTGTCAGTGGATATGTGGAAAATGTTTGCTGTGCATGCCTTCTGAGGGTGAATAATTATTTGGAGCTTCTTTGCTTACCCTCACAAAGATGTAACTGGGTAAAAGTACACTGCCCTAGTGGAAGAAGCCTAAGCTTCTGAATTTCTTTTGTTAATACTAAGCTTTAAACTCTAAGAGCAGCACCCAGACAAGGACCCAGTTCAACAGCAAATCCTTGGACTTCAAATCTTCCAAACCTGCAGACAAGTCCACCTCCAGAGTGGGTTGCATCAGTTGGCGTTTGCAGGATACCTGGTCAGGAAGCATCTCAGATGCCTGGATGACACACTGTTTCCAGGGGTTACAAGCTAAAGTTATGTCTGCCTAATCCCTGCTTCATGTTATTCAACCTGCCTACGTCTCCACAAAGACCAGCAGACAGTCATGCTACTTTAGCAGATCTTGTGAATCAAAAGATAGTGCCATAGCTCCAACAGTGGATAGGTTTCACGGTTTCTACTCCAACCTTTTCAGTTCCCAAACCATAAAGAGGGATATCCACTCTATCCTGGATCTGAAGGCATTAAATTACTTCAT